TGAAAACCAGGGTAAGGATTTGATATTTAATCTTAAGGGATTGGATGCCACTGGCAGGTAATAAGCAGAGAAATGACGTGAATAAGATCACTCCTGGTGCTGTGAAGGGGGCAAATGGGACAAGACTGGGGGTGGGAAGATGAATTGTAGTGGTTCAGATGGGAAACAAATGGTGACTCAGGACAGGGTGAGGGGCAGAGATGCAGGGAAGTAATGGGATTCAAGAAGCATTTTGAGATAGAACCTACATAGTCCAGTGGATTAGAGATGAGGGCAGGGGACGTCCAGTGGGTTTTAATAACCTGGTGGGAAAAGATGTAATCCGTAAGGGTGGTCCCGAAGGGAAATCTATCAAGTACCAAAGTGGAAGGCAGATAGGGAGAGACTGGGGAACTGAGCCTTGAGCTGGGCCTGAAATGTGGGCCAGGTTAGGAAAGAAAGAGACAGCATTCCAGGAAGGAAGAAGCAGAATCCAGATGACAAGTGGGAATGAGCTTGCCTCATACCATGTGGGTGGCATTGAGTGGGATGAGCGCCATGAGGAAAGGGTGCTACTGGAGTGGGGAAGGAGCAGGGGTGGGGCCTGATTACTCCAGACCTCTGAGGCCACGCAGAGGTATCAGCCTTGATATCAGAGATAATGGGAAGCTGGATGGGCTCTTAGACCAGCAGCCAGCCAGCCACATCTCACTCAACGTGCCAGGTCTGTGCCAGGGGCTGCAGAGACATGAGTAAGCGGACACAAAGCTTGTGCTTCCTGAAAATACTTACTGACAACCTGCTCTGATGATAGCATGCGATGTTAGAGAGAAAGCCTCTTGGCCCTTGGTTTCTTCCAGCCTCACCAGCTATCCATCTCAGCCTCCTTTCATGGCTCTTCTGCCTCCACCAGGCACCTCGCAGGTGGAGAGCAGGGGGGCACAGACTGCGTCTCTTTCTTCTGCCTCTTCACCCCATCCTTTGGAGATCTCATCCAGGTCTGTGGCTTTAAAAGCCATCTCGATTCTGCTTCATGTTCTAGAACTAATTATCTCCTGAACCGATCTCCTGAGTTCTAGCCTTGCGTTTTCAATTGCCCACCTAACATCTCCACTTGGATATAGAACTGGCACCTCAAATTTAAAATGTCCAAGCAAAAACTTCCAGTCCCCTCCACCCAAACCCATTTTTACATGGTGTTTCCCAGCTGAGTGAGTAAGGGGTACCTCCCAGTTATTAGGGCAAAAGCCTAGGAGGCATCTTTGATTTCTCATTCCATAGCCAATCTATCAGCAAGCCCTGGAAATTCTGCCCCCAGAAAAGTTCAGAATCTGTCCACATCTATCGTCCATTACTACCGCCCTAATCAAGCCACTGCTACTTACTCCGAGCCTACAGCAGAAGCCTCATCCGTCTCCCTGTGCGCTCGAGTCCCCAGGCAATCCATTCTCCCCAGACCAGCCAAAGTGATCAAAGCCCTCTGCTGGCTCCCCAGGGCTTCAGAACAACACCAGAGCTGCTTTCTGCAGGACCTGCCAGCTAAGGCCTGACCTTATTTTCTACCACTGACTTCTCTCTTCTCCTGCTCTTTGCTCCCCAGACACACTGGTTTTCTCTCTGTTTCTAGAGCAGACCAGAACAAAGGTCTTGTGCCCACCTCATGATCTTTGCACTTAGGATTTGCTCTCTCTGGAACTCTTTTCTATCAATCTTCTCATTGTTCAGACCTTGGTTCAAATGTTACCATCCTATCTGATGTCTCTTCCCTGCTGCCAGTCATTCTCCATCACATATTTTGTTTTGATATCTTTGACACATAAATAGTCATGTATTTATTTATTGAATGTCTTCTCCATTAAAATGTAAGTTTCAAGAGAGCTGGATCTTGTCTGACCTGCTCTGTGCTCTATCTCCCACTCCTACAACAACACTAGGTGCACAGTGGAACTCAATAAATATTTGTTCAATAAATAAATAAATGCTTTGGATGTGATTCCTGGTCTTCTTGAAATGAAAGATATGTAACAAGCCACAGGAAGAGTTACCTAAGAATACAGTACAGGAAATGGTAACCCTGAGAAACTCATTTTTGCTGAAGTGTTGCTGGGTAACAATATGCTGCCCAGTAATGCCAGCTCTAATGGGGCCTTAGAAAGATAAAGGTGTAATCCACTGGGTGGTCCTGGAGAGGTTTCCCTCCAGGACCAAAGTAGAGGGCAGATGAGCTATTTGAAGATTGGTGGGTCCTTGTGGTTCCTTCCAAATTATCCATGTAAGTAATCAAGGACTCCTCTGTCACTGAATACACACACATCCTTTCCCACTCCAGCCCTGGCCAGTGTGGCTCAGTAATTAGAGCATCAGCCCACACACCAAAGGCTCATGGGTTCAATTCCCAGTCAAGGGCACATACCTGGGTTGCAGGTTTGACCCTTGGCCCAGGGCTCATGTGGGAGGCAACCAATTGATGTGTTTCTCTCACATTGATGTATGTGTGTCTCTCTCTCTCCCTCTCCCTCCCACTCTCTAAAAATCAATGGAAAAAATATTCTCAGTGTGGATTAATAAAAACAAAACAAAACAAAAACAACCAGACTCACTTCATACATACACTCCCTAACATCACACCCCCTTTTTGCAGGGCTGGCTGTGAGTTTTACCTTGTTCAGATATTTCATAAAGGTCTTAGGGAATGACCAAGTGACCAATTTCTAAGAAATTTGTAAAAATAAAGCAACTATAATGGCCCTGACTGGGTAGCTCAGTTGGTTAGAGCATCATCCTGATATGCCAAGATTTCGGGTTCGATCTCTGGTCAGGGCACACACAAGAGACAACCAATAAATGCAGAAATAAGTAGAACAACTAATCAATGTTTCTCTCTCTCTCTCAAATATTGAGTTTAAAAAGCCTTTTACATTTCACCATGAATCTTAATAAATTATAGTACAGGCACACAATAGAATACTATTCAGCCATTAAAACAGTAATTATGAAGTTTAAGTATCAATCTAGAAATCATTCATGGCTATAATTTTAGGTTAAGAAAAACCCTGGGCATAGATCTGGTATAAATATGATAAGCACAACTATATCAACATTATCTAAGGAGAAAAAGACTGAAAGGGAATCGTTACCATGTTAATAGGATTATGGTGGATTTTTCCTTTATGTTTCCAAATCTTTTTAAAATTACTTTTACATATATAAAAATGAAAATAGAAAGATGAACTGTAATGTCCTTGTGCGGTTGTCTCTGCCCCAGCCCTGTGGCCTTTCTTCTTTTCCCTCAGGCAGCTGGAACAAGATGAGCAACGGCGGGCACAGCTATGTTCCTGCACGTCAGGCACGGGGACGATGGGGCCCAAAGGTGAGATGTAATCATAAAGTCATAACAGCAACAATGGTTGACACTGTTCCAACTTCAGGCACTCTGCTAAGCATGTTATTTATTCCTCGCATTCTTTTTCCCCCAAAGGTGAAAAAAATGGAAGTCTGAAGATGTGAAGGAGCTGGTCTGAGGTCACAGTGCTGGCAAATGACAGAGAAAGGTATGGAATCTGGGTCTGATTCTACAACCGATGCTCTTGACCACTCTAACAGGGCCAAAACGTGTATAAATATTGAACCACTGTGTTTTAATGGCTCTTATAACTTTCGGTCCGTCACTTCTAGGTGTGAGTCAGGAGGTGAGGCAGGCCCCTGACCTCTCTAGCAGGCAAGCACTGGGCACATGGCCCCTGCAGCGTATCAGGAACAGGCCTGGCCTACTGGACCACAGGGGCTTCTGGACAGAAGATAGAATCAGGAAGAGGAGGGGAGGAAAGCCTGCTTGTGGGGGCTGGAGAATTGCAGGAAGGGAGGGCGGGAAGGTGTGAGCACTGGGACATGACTCCTGATCACTCTTCACTTGTGGCTCTGGGAGGAATCATGGGCTGGGGCCCTGGTGCTTCCTGTCTGGTCAAGGGCTGGGTGGTGTCCTGGGAGGATTGGTTAACCTCCAGCAGCCCCAATTTACCTTGTGTAGTAGACGGTAGGTTGATAGCCACAACTATGAAGTGGGACCTACTGGAGCCAGGAAAGTTGAGCCCATGATCTAGGCCCAGTACGGACCCACCAAACCAGGGTCCGACAGAGGATGAGGCAGAGACAGAGGGCTCAATAGGAAGCGAAGGGCCCATGATCAGTGCTCCCTGTGAGTGAGGCTCAGGCCCACAGAAGGAAGCACAGCTAAGCCCTTGCATAGCTCAGCCTGGCATGGTCACCGAGACCATAGCAACCAGAGGGGCACAAGCGCACTGCCCCCTCCTCAATGGCTGGGAGCCTACAGGAAGCTCACACACTACCCAGAGGAGAAGCTGGGGAGGAAGATCTGGATCCACTGATAATTACCTAAAGACACTGTTCAATTTTTGTAGCTCACTAAATTTACCAGATGGGATTTCTTTAAGGCTTTCTCTTCACTGACTAATAGATGGCGTCCACGAGGAAGGCTAAGTCAGTACATCCCCTCCAACTCCCTTTGAGTTGCATATGATGACATTTATGTGCCTGCCCTGCCCCTATGCTAGATTGCACAATTTGAGCATCTATTACATCTCAGGCAATCTGCTAGGTCTTTCACATGCAGGATCTCGTCCACTGTTCTCAGTATCATATTAACAGAAATATCTTCAGTCTCCTATCTCCTGTCAACTAGCTGTGTGACCTTAATCCCTTTGAGTCTCAGTTTCTTCATCAAATGAAGATACTAATCCCTTCCTAGCTGAGTGTCAGGCACAGAGAACACACTTAGTAAAAGGTTGTCATCATTTTAGTTAACAGTTTTTTGGGGCACAGTGACAAGTAAGGACAGAGATGTGATGAGGGTGGGGCTGAAAGAATGTCTCTGGGAAAGAAAAGAATTAACAAAAACACAACCTCTTAACTCTGCAACAATGCAGGTGATCTTTTTCAGAGTCAGGGAAGTGGGGGTAAAACATAAGGTACCAGGAACCCTCTGTCCAGGAATCCAGACGTACCTGAGAGCCCCACGGGGCCATAGGAAGGAGAGGTGGGAAATCAGGAGTTTCCAGGTCCTGTGTATGCTCAAACTCACTGACATTTCTTCCAGACCTGCTGTCTTCTTCATCCCCTTGTAGGCTCTGTGAGACAAGCACATCAGCTCCTAGGCCAGGATGGCCTTCCAAGGCCTGGAGAGTCATCCCAGCCACGACCACCTCTCTGGGGCTCTGCACAGGCTGTGGGGAGCTGGGGCTGCTTCTTAACAGCGAGGTGTCCAAACATCCTTGGGAAATTTCAAGAGAGTTTTACAAAAAAACGAAAGTAATGCCATCGGATTCCTCCTGAGGTAAATGTCCTGATGAATTATTAAGGCGGTGAAGGAAGTCGGGCTTAGCCGAAGGAGTCCCACATCTCTGTGACTGTTTCAAACAACCTGAGCTTTCTTTGGTGGAGAGAACTTTCCTGTGCTGCACGAAAAGTAAGCAGAGAGCTAGAATTATGCTCACATAGGGCAGCTCTTGGTCAAGGGAGGACTGCATTTCCTGGCTGAGAGCCAGGCTCACAGGTAACTTCTTACTGCTCAGAAGCTATTTTTAAAGTTGTGAAACTCAATATATCAGTGGGGAGGAGTAGGGGAGGGAGGGCTGGAGGTGAGGTGGCTGAGGTGCCCAGGTCCCTGAGGGAGACTCGCTTTCCTGGGAAGATGAAGCCACTTGCCCAGTGCTTGGCTGGCACTCCCAGATCTCTCTTTTGAGCTCTGAAAATAAATGTCTGGCCTGGTGTTCAGGGCTGATGTTGGGCCTGTGGGCCAGAAAAGAATGTAATAACTTATTCTGATTCTCACTTCAACCCTTTCTTTGGTTTAATTGGTACTGTGTCTGGCGGTTGAAGGAGGGTATGTCTGATAAAGTTCATTTGTCTGTCAAGACTCGAAAAATGGGCCTGAGCGTCTTCAGGATACACCAAGGTTGAGGTTTGACCTTTAGTCAGGGCACACACAAGAAGCAACCAATGAATGCATAAATAAGTGGAACAACAAATCGATGTTTCTCTTTCTCTCCCTTTCTCTGTCTCTCTCTGTCTCTGTCTCTCTCTCATCAATAAATAATTTATTTTTTTTTTAAAAAAGACCCCCAAAATGGAGGGTGGCCCAGCCCACAACCCAAATCTAACCATAAGTAAGTCTGTGCTTACCAGAAACATATGTCAGGGAAACCTGAGAGATACCAGTCACAGTCCTCCAACTCAGCTTCAGCCAGTTTACCTCACCCTGGAAAAGAGGACCTGTTGTTAGCTGTATAAATGTAACAGAATGAAACGGTTCCTCTTTTGATAGCCCGCCGGCTGATGGCTAATTAACTAGAGGAATTCTGCTTGAGGCTTGAGCAGCCCCTTGTTGGCAAAGAGGTGGGGAAATATGCACAAGGTAATGACTGTTTTTCAAAGATTCACAAGTCTCCATAACTGAAATCAGATCAGTGGGAGTCCACATACCAACCAGGACCAAAGAGACCAAGAAATTTTGCACTCTTCCTTGGATCCTTTTAGACACCTGCCTATGCCAACACCCATCTCTTGCCTCTCTTCCTCCCTTCCCTTAATGTTAAAAGATGCCTGAACTCCAGACTGTTACGATGGATTTGAAAATCAGTTTTCCCATCTTCTCAAGCTAGACCTTCTTGATCAATAAACATTCCCTTGCATTTCTTTTGAAGCATTGGGTACACAAGCCTCCACATTGTCTCTTCTAACACTCTATAATACTCCCTTTTGCCCCAAATCCCCCCGGAAGAGTGTTCTATTGCTTGTGAGGCATTCCACTCCCCCAGTCCATGGATTGTTTCTCCTTAAATAAAGGACATCAAATTTGTTACTAATTGTTTTAGTTTTGTTATTTTACACATCACAGTTTGATGTTAAAGATAAAAATACAAAACTAAAAACAAACTCTGTGTAGTGTTTGCAACTGTTTTAAAATGTACGTTCAAAATGCACTTTCTTCATTCCACATGTTGGCTCTGAGTGACCCTCTCTAGTTGGGAACACCCTATCACCCCCCATTTCAGGACTCTCTTTTCTGAGGTTGTCGTTTTCTAGTGGCGACTCTCTCTAGCCTAAACAGCCAGACCCCACAGTCCAACTGACTAGACTTGCTGGGGTGGGGAATGTCCGGCTCACAGGCCATATGGGGCCTGTGGAATCATTTGGTCTGGCCCTGCCAAGGCAACTGTAGGTGGGACTCAAAATTCAATAAATCAAGGAGCTTTTTTCATAGCTAAGTTTTAAGGTGATAAATTTGTATGGCCTGTGAATGATGTTATAAATACTCAAATGGCCCTTGGCAGAAAAAAGGCTCCCCACCCCTGGACTAGAGGCACATGTTTGGGTGGAAGATGTGTATAAAGTGTGTTTTTCCTATTTGTGCTGAGGGGCAGCAGGATTCCACGTTGGCATAGGATTATTTCAAGCTGAAGGCAATCGAGAAGAAGCAGATACAAGAAAATGCCCTCCCCCTGTTTGCTTAAAAGCATGACATAAATTTACAAAGGTGTCCCTCTTCCCCTCTTTACCAGGAAGGACAAAAGGTAATCACCAGAGACAGCTCCAGGCCCTCATCAGCCCAGAAAAACACCAGAGGAATCCACATGCTAAGCTTTCTAACTAGTCCTTATCTCCCATTAGTTCTGAAACTGGACACAATGGGTCTGGGCTGCCTATCACTACTTCAACCAATTAAGAAGAGACAAGGTTGAAACATATTTGAGTGTTTATTCCATTATTGCCAGCAAAATGGGAGAGCAGAGGGAATTGTCCACATAATATCTGCTCTGCCTTTCCCTTATTACCTGACTGGTTATATAGGGCTGCATGCAAGGGGGAAAGGGGAGGAATGGCTGCAGGGTCTGTGGTCCGTGTGTCTCCTTCCAGAATCTTGAAGTCTGATCACAAGGTAGTTCATTTTTAATGGTGTTAAAACCCAATTCCAAAAACCCAGTTCTGCCAGTTCCTGAGACCTGAGAATAGTCAGCATTCTTGAGGCAAACTCCCAGAGAGGGGTCAGGCTCCAGGCACAGCAACCAAATCATAGCGAAGTGCATCCTGCCCTTTGTCTGTTCTCAAAATGCATTTTCTTTTCTGAGCAATGGACCCATCCAGGCCCCAAGGTGTCTCATCTTTTTACAGCTCTGTTTTCCTTCTTGCAGCACACCTTCCAGTTTCCCTGGGTCTGTAGGAAAACTTCTTATCTATAGTTAGTAAGGTGAATAATCATTAAACAGCTATGGTCCTATTCCTATTAGGTGCCTCCCCACTTTCACAATCACCGTTAACAAAGTATAATCAACATATCTGCCCCCAACAGTTCCCCAATATGTTCACTTTTCTATAGTTTGCTCCCCTAGAGAATCAAGGTCCTTTTCCTTTGTCTTGTCATTTGTCTAAAAATGTATTGTCCAAGTTCTCACCACTAACTCAAAGGAATTAACTCATCTCCAAGTGCTCCTCTGTGTTACATGTTGGTTACCTGTGTTAATAACCATCTTCTTGTTTCTCTCGTGTTAATCTGCCTTTTGTGAGTCTAATTTACATGACCCCAGGCAGAGAACCTAAAATGAATCCCTTGAGGAGATGAGGGAGGAGACAAACCCTCCGTGACAGTTCCCTCTTCTCCAAGCCCCATACCTGGAAGGCTTCAGCCCTATCCACCCCCAGTCCATGCCTGCTTCTTACTTCAGGTTTATGGCTCACTCTTGGAAGAAAGTGCCTAAACAGCTTTTCTTAGAGAAGGAAGATGAAACAGTTTTCAAGCAACAAAAGCCCTTTTCATTTTGCTCAAGAAAGGGAGGTGGGGCTTTATCAAAAGGAGCTGATTTATCTTCAGCCATGGATACAAGGAGGTAATAATCAATTAGAATATCTCCTTACAGGTCCTTGGAAAAAGGATTGGGTGACATCAGGAAAGACAGGAAGGGCTGGGTGCTCCTCCAATAGTCCCTGACTCCAAACTGGATGGAGCAAAGCGGTTAAGGAGTTGGCGTGGGCTTGTGGGGTGGGCGGTGTTCTCACAACTAGAGAGCATACTACTTGCAAGTTACCTAACCTTTCTAAGCCTTGGTTTCTTCATTTGTAAAATAGGAATAATAAAGATGATGCCAGCCTCATAGAAGTGTGAGAATCCACGCCTGGCAAATAGTAGTCTGTAATCAATGTTAATCCCCTTGAAACCAGACACAAGGGGTCCGAGGCCACCTGTCACTACTTGAGCTAAATTAAGCAGAGAAAGGATTGAATCATATGTGAGCATTTATTCCATTATTGCCACAAAATGGGAGAGCAGTCGGTCACCTTGGAAATTCTGCTCTGACTCTCCTTGCCAGTTGGCTGATTATACACCAGTGAGGGAGAAGATAACTACCTGCAGCTGTGAGCTACAGGTGTAAGAGAGAAAGGGGAGGGGAGGGAAGGGGAGGGAAGGGGAGGGTCTGCAGTCTGGCCGTCAGGAGCTCAAAGTCCAATAACCAGGGGGCTAATCTTCTATGATATTACAAACAGCTCAGCCCACTCCTGGGACCAGAGAATGGTCAGTGTTCCTGAGGCAAACTCCTGGACGGGGTCAGGGTCCTGGCACAGCAACCAAATCAAAGTGTATCCTGTCCTTGGCCTGTTCTCAAAATGTATTTCTTTTCTGAGTAATGGACCCACCGAGCCATCTTATCTTTTCACAGCCTTGTTTCAGCCTCCAGTTTCCCAGGGTCAGTAAGAAAACTTCTTATCTATAGTTAGTAAGGTAGATGATTATTGAACAACTGTGGCTCTGTTCTTATTATGTGCCCTTCCCCACTATCACCTTTTCTGTGTAATCCTCCATTACAGAGTGTGGCTTAAATAACCCAGCTTGCTACCAGAATGGATATATGTGAATATCACAGATCTATTGCAACTTCTAAAATTATCTCATTTTTAAAAGTGTGTATATATATATATATATATATATATATATATATATATATCCCCAATACATTTAATGTAAACATTATATACATAGGCTTTCTTTTCTTATTCCACCAAGGCAGGGGTGGCCGTTTTCCTAACTTTCCTTCAAGAATCAGCGTTGAGAGTGGTGTGCTTGGCATCACTTCCCCACACCTGCCCCCTCCCATACACCTGGGAGTTCTTCACAGAGCAGGAAATGACAGGATTT